CTGCCTTGTGTGCTGGAACAATTGCCATCCCCGAGCTTTACTTAAAAACTAGTTAATTGGTGCCCAGGAGTGACTGTTGCAAAGACAATGTCAATAGCATGTCTTGCATCAGCTGAAGTCATCTGATGTTTGTTTCCTTAGGTGAGTTTGAGCCATGAAAGAGCATAGCAAGAATGACTGTAAGTCCACTTTCAGCTACCTTTCAGATGACAGCATTCATTTTTTTATTACCTTAAGCGAGATATTCATCATTAATTATATTTCTTTTAATTATCCTGCTGATTAGCATAGAGCTCATGAATGCAGCAATGAAGATTTAAGCTGCCATCTACATATCAGTTTTGTAGCTGTCTCAGCATTCAGCTGCAAGCAGCACGTGGCAGTTCTACAGGAAGGAACCAGACTTACTATAAAACAGCAAGATGTAAAATGTTCTAAATGAGCCTTTCAGACTGCAAGAATCTTTGAAATGAGTGTGGCTGCTCCTGTGTAGGAATACAGAAAGCTTTGGTTCTTGAGAATTCTGTTAACATGAAAAAAAAGTATTTGGTGTCTAGAAACCCTAGGTCTTGACTAAGACAGGCTTCCCTGCTTTGCCCTCAGCATCCTCCTTTAAGACTTTAGAGCTTTAATTCAGTTGCTGAAACATAGGTGACCAGTGCTATTTGAGATGTCCTGGGCTGTCCCAGACATTTATGTGGCCCTGGCAGATATGGCACAGGCTGTAAGAGACACTGTGTGTCCTTCTGGATGTCAGACTGAGCCCAGGCAGGTTGCCCTAGGACATTTATCTCAAGTGGCAGCAGATGCCTATGTTTAGATGACTGAATGCAGTGCTAGGTAATATGACCTCCTACCCAAGAAGTGAAGAATAGCTATTATAACAAATTGGTGAGATGTTAAAATCACCTTGGTGGTGGCGATTTTTTTTTTTTTTTCAGTAGGATTTTTTCATTTTCATCTTCTTGCTATATTTAGGAACCATGGGTATGTCTTTAGGGACAGCCTTCAGGCTGTCAGGTGTGGGGTTTGGTTCTCCATGTGTGCAGGTTTGTTGCCTGGTGTGGTTCCACAGCTATACTGAGCCTGTAACGTGTGCTCTGAGGTACAGATTCTGTGAAATCTTTCTTGAGGATGTGAGCCTCTGGAGAGAAACTCTTCTGAGTCTTGAAATTGGTGCTGGCTGCCTGCCTTCACATTTTCTAACTCACTGTGTGCAAGTTTTTTCAAGATCTTTATTCTGAAATCCCTTTGGTTTATAGTTTAATCCTTCTAGGGTTATGTAAGAGATAAATTAAAGCATGAAACTGTTAGTAGCAACAGCCCAAATGTTGCATGCTATCTTTAAACTTTAAAAAAAAAAATAACAAAAATAAAGAATCATCTCTCTTAAAGATTTGAACACAACCTTTTGGGTGGAAGGATTGTAAATGCCCAGTGCTGGTCAAAGGGGTGATTTTATTCCCCTCTCCTGCATCTTTGACCCACTAAGTTGTGTAGTTCTGCTGTTTCTTTTGTGCTGACCTTAGTTTTTGTTGATAGGCATTTGGATTGGGAAATTAATCCAATTGAAGGGGTTTTTCCCCCCTTTAACTTAGCTTGTTATGTCTTGAAACATTAATACTGTGCACGTGCAGCTTTTTTCCTGCTCTGTACTTTGCAAGGTAGTATGTTATTATTTGCAGTGCTTCTCCAGTACAGATAAGATTTAATGAATTGTTCATCTGAATGATATTTTGCTGATGCTGCTCTTTTAGAATGGATCCTTTACAGAAGAAAAAGATTAGCTATATTTATAGAAGAGCATAGTCTTACTTCTCTTTACCTGATAAAGCAACAGTCTTAACCAAAAGCTCCACTTTAAATAGTGGATTGATCAGGTACTTGGGTTTAGTTCCTGGCATGTATGTCTGAAAGCTTTGTGTAGTCACACAGGAAAAGCAGCATGCCAGCCTGCAGTGCAATAGGCCCACAATTATACCTAAATATCAAATTATTTAAAAAAAAGTAAGTGTTTGGACTTGTAACTGAACACAGTTGTATGTTTTTGTTTACTGCACGACTCGAAAGATTGACATGTAATAAAAATGAGTGGTAATTATAGAAACTGCCACATGAGATTTATTTTTGGTTTGGTTCCATGATGCTATGGCTGCTGAAGTTGGTATGTTGTTTCTCTGCTCTTGGTTGACCCTGATCCAAAAAACAAACAAACTGAAGAGCCCCAACAAAATCCACCCAGCAAAATCCCCACAAAACAAACCAACAAGCAAACAACTGCTGCTCAAAACACAGCAAGTGTCACTAAAGTGGATTTGTCATTTTGCTTGTGTTTAATGGACATCTGAAAGCAACACTCAGGCTCTTCCTTAGAAGTGTGAATCTTTGATGGATTTTTCTCCCTTAAATCTATTTCAGATGTATGAGTCCTACCAGAGTCACTTGTGATTTTACACTTGACCTACAGATACAGACTTCATATTTTCATAGCAAATCTGTAATTTCAGAATGTAGAGGGGAAAAACCTTAAGTGTTCAGTCAGAAAATTTAACTTCCACGTTTAACTACAGCCATGTCTATGTAGGAGTTGCACTTTTGTCAATTATGTTATTTCTATGTGTTTCTGCATTTTTCTGGCATTAAATGGGATCTCCACAGCTGTCTAAAAGTTGGGCAGGGTGAGGTCTTAGACTAGGACTAATACTAGAGGTATTGACTGCTGGTTATGATGCTGAAGAGCATAGGTAACAAACAACTTTCTCTATGAATTAATCTAAAACTGAATAGAACATGTTGTCTTGTTAGAGCCAGAGCTGCTTGTCAAGGATGGGACAGTGTTGGTAATAGCTATTTTAGTTTCCCTGTCATAGGATCTGAACCTGTTAGCTCCATCATCTGTCAGGTAACTGCTGGTAGTTTAATTATGTGCTTTAGTTTTGTTTTGAAAGAAAACAGAGGAACGATTATTGAAGGGAAAGTTTTATTTCATTGTAGTGAATAATGCACATTCAAGGGCATTGGTAAGGATTAGTGTGTTTTCTGTATCTGTTGACTTGCTGGAGTAAGTTTGGTTGTTGTTGGAGTCTAAGCCCCACATAGCTGCTCACTGGTGGGATGGGGAAGTGAACTGGAAGAGTAAAAGTGAGAAAACTGGTGGGTTGAGATAAAGACAGTTTAACAGTTAAAGCAACATAAAGAATTCACAGAATCAGTCACAGAATATCCTGAGTAGGAAAGGACCCACAAGGATCATTGAGTCCAACTCCTTGCCTTGCACAGGATAACCCCAAAAACTACACCATGTGTCTGAGAGTGTTGTCCAAGCCCTTCTGAAACACCTGTTTCAGTGCCAAACCACCCTCTGGGTGAAGAATCTTTTCCTAATGTCCAGCCTAACCCTCCCTGACACTCTGACACACAAGTCATACAGGCACTGATGTGATGCTGCATGCACTGCATGGATCTGCTCTAGCCCTTTGGCTACAAATCCAAAGGAGTGGCAGATCCTAAAATTGGGCACTTTTCTAGAACCACATATGCAGAACAAGATGCAAGGGGACCTAAATAAACTCCAGAAGTTGTTCAACTTCCTTCACTACCTCCCACAGGAAGGCAGGTGCTCAACCATCCCCAGGAAAGCTCCATCGTGCTTAGCAGTCACTTGTGAAGACAAATGCCATCTGCCCAGACTTTCAAAACTGCAAATAAATCCTCAAGTTACAAAACAAATCAGCTTTGTTTTACAGTGGTAAATAATACACTTCAAGCTTCCTTTAGTATGATACAAATTGGAGGGTGAATAAACCAAATAATGTCATTCTAAATCTGAAGCACTACTTAGATTTACAGTCCAGAATTGATCCTTGACATGAATCAAACATTAATGTTTTGTAGACTAAGTGGTCTAATAGGAGTAATTATAAAATTTTTTAAAAAGTCACCAGAAAGCAAAATAAAAAATTCCTCTGATAAAAGAATCTGTATTTTAAGTAAAGATAATTTTAAAAGCTATTTTTAGGAAATGCTTCTAGGAAAAAGGAAAAGAAAGTGATTTGTAGCTGAATAAAAATTAGTGAAGTGTTCAGCCAAAGGACTTGGGTTTAGTTCTGAAATGAGACATGACAAGTTTTCATTCCCCTTGCAAACAAGTGACATCCTTATACTGGAGATGAACTGTGTCAGATGAGCTGAGGTGCACCACACTTTGTCAGACCTGTCAGCTTGCTTCCCACTCTCAGGAGAGAAATATTCAGCTTGGCCAGGAAGTGTTTTTAAGGGGAGGACTAAAGTCCTCAATTTCATCCCCAAATCCTGTGGGAAGGTGGAATTTTTCCAAGTCAGGTATGTTTTAACATCAGCCGTATCAGGACATTCCGCGTGGAGCCTCCTAAGCCACTTGGTGTTCCTCAAACACCAACTCAAACTGATTGGAAGTCCCTAGACAGCCAAGCTCCTTGTTTTCCAGTAATTACCTGTACTGTAGGAAAGGTGTGAGTAATAGAGGCTACAAGGTCATTAGCAGAGAAGGAGATGAAGTTTGCTAGTCAATTGGAGATCATAGCCTTCTTTGTTTTCTAGGTGTTGGGTTGCATCAATGAGATGATTGCTTGACTGTTACTTGGTTTATATGCTTTTCTTTGTCCTTTGTTTCTATGCTAGGGTTTCTTGCTGCTCCACACAATATTAGAATTTCTTGGACTTTTTTTCCTTCTCTCAGTGTTGAAATTGTTAAGCTGCAGGTTGTTTTACAGTCTGTTGGAATTCCTACCCCTGGAACTGGCTGCAGCTCTTGTCCAGGGCCAAACTGTCTTTCAGTAGAGGCTTAATTTCTTTAAGTAATTGGAAAAAGCCAATTTGAGTTTTGCACTCCAGATCAGAACTTCTCCTTTTGTCTTTGAAGATCTGATCTACTAACTTGTTACAGTTGTCTGTTGTTCCCCACCCCCAGGAAGTTTAATCTTCTCAGTGTCTTAAATTTGTTTCTTTTTTAATTTTTACAGACTGAGACAACTTTAGGCCTCAGTTCATATCAACAGAAAAGGTAAGCATATTTCTGTAAGTTTCATACAGACTTTAATTGCAAGATTGGTGATATTTTTCGTAAGAATAATTAAGTGTATAATTGTGAATAATAATACAAAGGAAATGAAACTAAAATGTAAACCAGTTTTTCATATTGGACAGCTAAATGACAGAATCAGAGAATGGTTTGGGTTGGAAGTGACCTTAAAGATAATCCTGTTCTACCCCCTGCCATGGATAGGGACACCTGACACTAGACTAGGTTGCTCAAAGCCCCATTCCAGATTTGCTGTCTGTCTGTTCCTCTCTCTTGCTGGATTTTGCATGGATCTTTCCCTGAAGTATTTTTCTAGGTGATCTTTTTCCATGGCATTTTGAACAACAATGTGTGACTTGTCTGGATGACTTGTCTTTCCTTGTGCTTATTAGAGATTATAATATCTTCTTCTTCTTGGTGTAGCTTGCAGATATTTCTTCCCTATTTAGAGTTTACTTGGTTCCCTGATCTGCCTTTTAGCACTAATTGGAAGGAGGGAAATGAACTAGCAATGTAATTTGTTTTGTTCTTGCCCATGCTCAGGTTACAGTGCATCTATTCAAGCTTCTCCCTGTTCTTTCCCCACCCTTTGCCCAGACACCTCCCTTGGGAATTGTTGGCTTGGAAGTTCTGATATCAGGAGTATATTTTCCTGATACAGGGTTAATATTGGCATAGCTGAGCCAAACACTATCTGGTTTTAGTGTAAGGGAAAAATTTGTTGCTAGTCTTTTTATTCCTGTGCATTTATAGCAGCAGCTACTGCCACTTACTGAAATGATCAGTTGTTTGATGAGAGTCCACTTTCTCACTGATCCTGTGATTAATACCTGTATTTCTAAAATAATTTTAACTATAAAAAAAAAAGTAACATTTTCTGATATATGCAGCTCAGCCTGATTTTTAAATATAAAGTCATGGATGCACTAAGGTTGCTTACACAACATTTTTGGCTAGAAAAAGTCTTTGAGGTGGCTCTTTCGAGGATATTCTGGCACAAAAAGTACCCACTGTGAGGTATTTGCCTTTTTGTCATTTTAAAAGTTCACATGGTTGTTTTTAGACACACTTTATTTTGATTTTGTGGTAATAGAAATAAAGTAGTGGCTTTCTGAGAGTTTGTCCTGCTAAATAAAATCGTGAGGTCTCTTGCTGTTTCACAGTTTAATGCTGTTGTCTTCATTTCTTGACAATTTATGGCACAGGAGAGGAAATAAAACCCTCTAAGCAACTGCTAAAGTAATGTGGGAAAAATACATGTGGAGTATGCTTAGATTTGAATTTTCTACGGTAAGAATTAAAGATGTTGCAGATAAGATTCCACAGAGCACAGACCTCCTCCAGAAATCCCAGAACAGCTAGAAAGGTAAAGTGAGGATACAGAGAAACAGTTGCTGCCCAACTTTGCAGAAATCTTTAAATACTGTATTTGACAAGCATTTCCTTCATCTCCAAATGCAAAGATGTACATGGATTATCTAAAATTATGAGTGCTTAGTGCTCTGTGATAAACAGCAAAACATGAGAGAGGTGCTGCAGAATGTCCTTAAGACAGAAAAAAATTGTGGCTCAGCACAGATGGAAATCCATATCACCTACAGCCTCTCCAGGCATTGCTATTTTGCCCATTTTTGTAGCTGCCTCTGTGACAAACCTTACTGAGACACGAGGTTGTGCTTTAGTGACTCGCACTGCTAGTAGGTTGCTTTGGGTAGTAGCAGTACTGGAGTTAGTAGTTGGGGTAAGTGCCAGGTCACTGGGATGACAGAGTGGGTGAAGAGTGAGAGTAATGATCATGTTGGGGACTGTGTGTAGTTCACTGCTCTCAAGTCTCATTTTAAAAACTCTCAGAAGGAAAAAAGTGTTGAGACCATCTGAAATCATAGGTTTGGATGACTCCTGGCCAGTTCTTAGTCTGCTGGAGCTTGTTGGCAGATAGCAGTAGTCCTCTCTTCCAGATGCATCTTTTCCTTTTTGTTGTTCTTGACTTGAAAATTAGCGAACGTGGAGGGGTAAGGAAAGAAAAATGTGTAAATTCTGCTATAAGACCGGGAGCCATAGTTCTGCATGCATACAGCAGTAATTAACTTTGTCATTATGCTGTAAAGTTGCCCTACCCATGGGTGTATCCAGCCTGCAGTGAGCCAGTGCCCAGCAGAGCAGACATTATCATCATTTCTAGTCTGCTGCAAGTTGACTCATGTTGGGCCTTTCAGTATGCAAAGTTTGTGAATCCCAATATTGCCTGTTCCCATTTGAATCTCATTACAGTTGTTACTCTACTACTCTAGTTGGCATTCATGATGTTGTCGCTGCCTTTACCAAACTTTAACCATTTAAAGGTTCTGTGGGACCTGACTGGCTGTGCAGGGTAAGATAGCTCTGTGGTCTGAGAAAATGCTGCCTAAACTTTTCATGTGTGTGGAGAATTGTCTATGTCCTGATTGTTCGAGTTAGGTCAAGTTACTTTGATTGTATTTGAAATGCCTTTTAAATACAGGTATTAATGATGGCTTTTGTAAATACTGTAACTATTCCTGATAACTCTTCCATAAAAGGATTTGATATGTCCTTTTACCAATAGTTACCAATAAAAGAAGTGCTATCTGACTGTTCAGAGTTTAAATTTGGAAGAAATTGACAGCATTATTTTAAAACTCATGATTTAATAAGAATGTTTTCTGTTTAGTGTTCTCTTGACAATGGAGGTACAGGAGCTTTTTGTCCTTTTTCCTTTAAAAATGCACTCTAAATGGTTTTTGAAATTGGGCTGTAAACTTTGAAGATATACTGTCCACTTGTTTTATCCTTTCAAGATGCCACTGTTAATATACTTTTCCAATTGTATTCTCTTATGTCCAGTGTCTCTGTAAACTTCATTTTGTTGAGCATTTGTTCTATGAAGTTTGGCTTTAGCCTGAGAAGATACATCCATGCTCTCCTTGACAACAGCACTGAGGCACAGCAACGTTTAGAAGTAGCAAGAATTGTGATTTTTCTGTAGATTTGAACAGTTTTCCCTGTTAATGCCTTAAACCTTCCCTTCTGTTGTATTGCAATCTGCATACACAACACATGTGCACACACAGACGTGTCAGCACATACTAAGGGTGACTGTAGTGTGCACACACAGACATGTGTCAGCACATACTAAGGGTGACTGTAACATGCCTATTCTTGCCCTGAGAGTGTTGTACTTCTTTTAGATGAATAAAGCAGTTTTTAATGACTAAGCTCTAAGTAGCGTTGAAGATGCTTCAACATGCAAACTTAGAGAGCTGTAAATTGATCAGCAAACATAGATCTCTCTGTATTGGACCTGGAAGTGTGAAGATTCAGTTGTGGAATTTTAGAGTGAGTCATTGAGACATTATATTTTTATTTTCACAGCTTTTGATTCATTATGCTGTTGTCATTGCCCAGATCTGTGCTATTAGAGGACACAGTTAAGATTTTTGTACCCCATTCTTAAATGTTTTCTCCTGTAAATAGCTTCCTTGTTGAGGTGGTTCTGGAGTATAGAAAGCCATCTGAATTTGATCAATGATTAGTTTTCCTGGATTTCTGCTGAATGGAATGGGATTGGGTGAGTTCATAGGACAAGCCACGTGGACCTGCCCCTTCACTGTCCTGGCTGTTCCTCTCTTGGGGCAGAACTGGCTGGTGCTGCTGCCCTGGCTGGGTTTGTGCAGCAGCTTTGGTCGTGCAGGGCAAATATCTGCAGCTCTGTCTTTGGGCTCTTGGGATTGCTGCAAAGTCAGAAAACAAGGATCTGAAAGAAGGATGCAATTTCTTTATCAGTAGCAAAATCATTGGATGAAAAAATGGAAGCTGTTGGTCTTGAGCCATTCAGGGGACATTGATCCTGAGCTAGTCTTTAGCCTGTCATGTTTATTTTTTTTTACAATATTCTCTCCCTCTTTTGTTTTGTTGTATGAATATGATTTTTACTCAGCCCAAAATGAAGTTTTACAGAATTAGAGATACTTAAGTCTGGTCACAGTCACATCATTCTGAATTAAAACAAGTTTCAGTCAATGAAACTGGTTTGTATTTTGTCCTTTGCTGTGTGTTATTGATTGTGCTTTGTATAACTGTACTGGCAAAATAAGCAGTAGTAAAGAATGCTTCCAGGTACTTTGTTGTCTTCACTGCTGGATAGTTTAACTGCTATTTAAACTTTGGTCTTCATCTGCTAGAATCCTCCTAATGAGTTCCCAGTAGGAGGTTAATATAGGCAGAGCTAAGGAATGTTTCTAGAGCAGAGTCACCTTCTGCATGTTGTGAGTTTTGAACAGTACAGACATGGCCATGTTTTCTCCCATGTGACCTCAGTACCATCAAATGGGTCCAAGATTGTTTATGTACTAGTGTAGAAGCAGCTAGAGAAACTTAATGATGTGTATGTAAATGACTGTTACGCGTTGGACAATATCCAAAACATCTCTCATAGCAGTGTTTGGATATGGCTATGAAAGATGATGTCAACCTATTTAGTCATCATTATATAGAGGGAAAGTTTGCACTTCAATTATGTCCATTTTCGAGATATGTACTCTGGGATAATCTTTCTTGGAGACACCACATAATCCTGTAAGTGGCTGGTAAAATTACAGTATTCTGACTGGACAAGTTTGTTTTGTTTGTTTATTCTTTTGAATTAGTTACTCTATTAGCACTAATGAATGTTTTGCTAAGAAAGGGCAATTTGAGGTGGGAAGGGAACAAAAATGTATGATTTACTAGTGTCTTTTACAGCATTTAAATTTCTCTTGCAGTGTATCCCTGTATCGGGGAAATTGCCGACCTCTCCGGTTTGAGCCACCAATGCTGGATTTCCATGAACAGTAAGTTCAAACGTCTTTTCACCTGTCTAGTGAGACAAATAAAAAATAAAGCAAACACCAAACCCAAGGAACAACAGCAACAAACCAACCAAGCAAACAACAAGAGTATTTACAGCTGAGCGCGAAGGTTCCGTACGGAGATTGTGTTCGTAGATTGTGGATGTCATTGACCTACATGTCCCACAGAGCTGGTGAACATGGTCCTAAAGGTTGTGTAGCAGCACTGTGTCAGCTGCCATGGGTCTGGGGGTGTGGGGACCTGTACTTACTTTTTAGGCACTTGTACAGCTGCTGTGCAGAGTGAACAACTTCACAAGTCTGGAGCTTAATGTACTGAGGTGAGATTACCTTGTACACAGCCCATGCCAAGGAGTATCTGCTCTAGTTTGTGTGTTTTACTGTTGCTTTGGTGGAAAAAACCCATCAGTGGAGCTGCACTTACTAGCACAGTAATGTGGAGTTGGGAAAATACAGCCCCAAGGAGAACCAAAAACCTCCAGGAACCTTGTTCCACACTCTCTACCTTGTAGCTGGTTGCTCTTTCCATTTTGACTTCCTTAAAGGGAGGAGGAAGGAAAAATAACAATTCTATCCATGTACCTCTTTGTAATCAGTTCCTCTAAGAAATAGTTCAGCTTTAACAGTTCAGCCTGGAAGAATGAAGACAGCCCAGGTATGCCTTAGTTTCCCCATCATGGATGAAAACCTGCTTTATTTGCAGATGAGCCACACATTATTAATAAAAATACAGCCCCCCTTTTCTGTCAGAAAGGCTGTTGTACAGTGCTGATGACTGCAGAGATGTGCATTGACATGCTGTATATGTCTATGTTTCAGAAAGAAGAGATGCTGTAGTCTGTTGTTTGCACAGAGTAGCTTTCCAGAAATACCTTTTATACAAAAAAAGTCACTAAATAACAAAGCTGTATGAAAATACTTCATTTTGCATAATTTATTTGTGCTCAGTCTAACAAAATTGTAACTTCTGATTAAAGACAGAATAAGTCACTCTGTCTCCTTGTACTTTTTCCTTCAAAATTTCCTTTGGCTTTTGATGTTGTGTGTTTTTGTTGTTTGGGTTTTTCTAATACCAGTAACTGGTTCTAGGTAAGAGGATATTGAGTTTCTAAATTGAAGACCAAAATACCTAGTGGTAAGCCCTTCTCTACTGCATCCCTGCTATAAGAAAATTAGGTTTTTATTAACAACTCATGCTGATGAGTGCAGTACAAATTGAAACTTGTAGAGCAGTGTGGTTTTTTGTTAGAGTTGCTGTAAACTTACCTATTGATCGGGTTGTAAGTTATTTTCTCTCCAAAAAAATGTAGAAGATTTCAGTTCATAGTAATTCCAGAATTTGACCTTTGAAATGTAATTTATGCACCTCTTTCTACTATGAATAAAGTGTTGATGTGCTCTGAAATATCTTGCTTTTAAAGGTTATCTAGAGTTTGCATATGTATCTGGAGAAAGCTACATGTGCTTCCTGGCTTTGTGGATTTCCAGAGATGATTTTTTTTCCCCTCTTGCTAAAAGTAGATCCAAGACAGTATCATAAATACTTTAAGTTGTTCTTCATCATATTTTGGCTTTTAGTGTAAGCTGTTCTTGTCCATGCTAAAGGCATTGAAGAAATGCTGTAGATCTATACAGTGCTAAAGTAGCACAAAGCTCTTAGCAGGGAATGCAGAACTGCACTGGGGGATTGCTGCCAGATAAAATGGGAACCAGTGTGTTAGATCTTGACTAATTATGTGTCCTGTCTATTTTTGTTTCTAAGAGTGTATGATAATTAATTTATCTGCTGTCCTTTAGGTCATAATCTCAGGCAGAAATTGTCTTCTGATTTATTAAAACTTGAGTCAGATGTCAAAAAGCAGTTTGAGACAAGGTTTAGATTTGGAGCCCCAAAGCCCAGTTTAAAGTCTGTGAACCAACTCCCAGGAATGCTGAGGAACTCAGCCTTGTGGTGGGAACAAGCTGCAGGTGCCAAGCACCTTGGAAGTCAAATAATGCAGATTTAAACTTGTGGGGTTTTTGCCTTTTAAAACAGTCAGGGTTTACACATTGAAATTCTGGCTTTTCTGCCTTTGTTACTAATGGAATTTAGGAAAGGCCTAAAATGAATCTTTCATTTCTGAATGAGTACTATAGCTCAAGGGTGTTTGGTTAATAGGTAGCATGTAGCATTTAGTAGAGCAAACTTCTACTTCGTATTTATGCTGAGCTATCAATATGTATCATTCCTAGGCTAAAGGAAGTTGTAATATTTGTAATTAATTGTAAGTTAAGCCATTCTTCCTGTGACATTTTGGGCCTGCTAAGAGTGGGGGGGTTTAATCAGATGTTTTAAAAACATGCCAACTTAAGCAGGAGAAATATTTAATAAAAGTTACTTTATCCAGGGATCTCAGAAAATCAGAATCAGTGTGAAGTTGATAAATAAGTGCTGTAGACACACTTCATGTGTTCCACCTGAAGATGAGATTACAATGGCCTTATGTTTCTGGTTTATAACAGTTGAGGGGCTTTTTAATGCTGTTTTAGCATGAAACAAGTACTACCATATTCTACTGCTTTGAAGGCAGTCCAGGCAATCTCACTTGTATCAAAGGAAATGTATGCTGAGTGTTAGGGTATGCAAATCCTCAGCTCAAATGTTCTCTGTGCACATTAAGCCTCTGGGAATGGGGTGGAACTGAGACAGGTTTCCATATCACTGCTCCAGGGGAGTGCTTGGACTCGGTCTGGAATCCTCATTTGGTTGTTTAATGTGTAAGCCTCTTGCTTGTGCTTCTGAAGCAACACCAGACTTTTTCTGAACAAATTCTGCAGCCTCTTGGATAGCAGAGATCTGGGGCTTTAGAGAAAACAGACAAAACAACCTCCACCTAAAACCAGCTCCACAACTAGCTGACTTCATTCTTACCTGCTCTCTGTTCTTTGCATTCTCTCTTTTCAGCTGTTACTCTTCCTTGTTGTGAGATAGAAATGGAGTAACTGGGGGGTTCTGACATACAAACCATAGCCACGAGGTCATTTTGCATTGCTTTGGGAGTTGACTGCTCAGAAGGGATTTTGACAGAACAGTCATTACCTGTGTGGCTTTCTGTGTTTGACAGGTCTTCATACTAGAGGTCTTGCAGTTGGCCCATCTGGGGGAAGACTGAACAATACTGTTGCAGTTTTGTTTATATGCAGTTTATATTCAGTTGATATTCATTTCTTGCACCTGCTTTGTGGGAGAATGTGGGTCTTCACAGATCTTGATGCACTGCCTTCATCTTTGTTAGTTCAACTCTTTATCAAAAGTAAAGTTTAAGTTCCTCACAACTAAATTTTTTGAGAGAAGTAGCTTTTGATAGTGGAGCACTTGGGTATTGAGCATTTTAGGATACTAACACAATATAATCTAGAGCTGCTTGCCATCAAAATTTTAAAATGTGGAATGTTTTCAGAATGAAGTTGACATCTTCCCCCTGTTTCATGGAAACTGTTAAAAATGTATAAAATGATGCTTTTGGCAGCAGTAACGTTTTAATCACTGATCAACATAGGCTTCTGTGGTGAATGGAGGTTCCTGCTTCACTCAGTTTGAGCAAGGTCTCCTCAGACAGAAGTTTCAGGACAGTATTCTCAAGTTCTGTCTTTCAGTTTTCTGCTGATAAACAATCTCACTTTGCCTTTCCTTTGAAGTGTTTTCATTAGGGGATTTCTGTAATGTTTTTGTGTTTCTTGTTTGTGAGCTCTAGTACTTAGCAGGATATTCTATAAAAGCTTGAGCTGGCCTTGAAAACAATGGCTTGGCAATGTTCAAGTGTTAGAGACCTTGCAGGTCTGGAGACCTTGGGGCTTTGCATAAGGGACATACTTTTCTTGTGTAGCTTTAAGGACAAGATAGTGTTTGAATGGATGAAGATCTGGATAAAGCAGCCACACTAAATCTGGTTTTGTATGCCTCCCTTTGAATCTAGACTGCACTGCTTTGAGTTATCTTCTCATTAGGTGTACCAAGAACAAGAAGACCAAAGGTCAAGGGAGTGTTTAGAAAGTCAAGGCATATAATGGATGTGCTATACTGCAGTGAAAACTTCTATCCTTGTAAGGTTTTCCTGCTGTAACACTTATGGTAAAAGAATGGAGAATGATATGTTAAAGTATTTGAAGTTTTCCTGGGCTATAGAAGAAATGTTTGTATCTACTAGATATGGTAGATAGAAATGTCCTTAAAGCCATGGGAGTTACTTTAAGTAGCATAAAGTTAGTATAAGTTTAGCAAATTGGTCTTTTTTCTTCAAGAACTCTAAACTCTTAACAGTAAACAGTGGAGAATTTTAACAACTAGTGAATTTATTCCAATTGATAGTTACATTTTAAACAAGTATATTTACAGCTGATGAAAGGGTCTGTAAGTTGCCTATGATGTACAGCCAAATGTTTATACATTTCATACACTTCTAATGTGTGAGAGTTTGAGATGGTTGGAATTTTAAAGAAATGTTGCAAAATAAAATTTCCTTTCCCTTGGAGTTTGTTAAATGTGAGAAGCTGTTGACAGTAAATTGACATTTAGTCCAGATGTAGCTCAGGTTTTGTTTGCATATTGTGCTAGACTGCAGAGTCATGCCAAAACAAATAATAGTTCATTACACCCTTAGATTCACTCCAGTCACACTCGGTGACATGGGTGGATAAACTGTACTGCTGGGGTTTTGCTAATTGTTTGGAAAAGGTGTGATTTTGTTATATGGAATCTGAAGTTAAATTCCTAACATAAAATGGGATATTTGATCTCTTTAGCGTGTGGCATGGACACTAACTTTTTGTCAGGTATAACATACAAGAACTGTCTCTGTTTGTTAAAAGCTGGAGAGATCTGGAAGCTAAGAAACAACTGATTTATAGACTAGCACATACACTAAACCCAAACCCTTCTGTTTTCTTTTGCTTTGCTGAGTGGGAGATGTATTTGCATTCTCAAATGGATGTGTTTCAGTTACTCTGACTTCAGCTAAAGAAGCAACTTGGCTGTGTCACTCAGCCAGCAGTGTACATGGTTTGGTGTGAGACAGGAAGAATTCTCTAGTCACTGGTCCTCTAGTTTTGTACATCATGCAGACTCCTTTTGTCTTCAGAATGGGGCACAAAAGGCATTCCCTTTCTGTCTCTAGCAGTAACCTTGTAAGACCAGCTTGTTTTGTTTCTTTTAATTAAAAGTGGCTGGATATGTTACAAGTCAACACCCAAGTTCTTACTGTTGGAGCTTGTTCACTCTGGTCTGACTGGAGAACTGTCTTCACTGGCTCGGGAAGTTCACATGTATTTAGAGACTAGGAGAGTTTCCTCTGACAAATGGTTTTAAAATTGTTTCCACAGTTGCCAGAGATGGAGGGTAACCTATTTGTTAAACTCTCAGATTTGTGAGTTTACCAGAATTGAATCTCAAGTATATTTATCAATGTTCCCAGAATTCCAAAGTGTAACTGAGCAGCTTTTGGTTGGCATCACTTCCCTCTCCAGTCTCACTAGAAAGATAGGAGATGGAAGGGGAAGAATGTATCTGCTGAATTGAGACCCTTTGCTTTTCAGTAACAGATTTGTGTCACTTTTCATAGATTGAGCATTTTACAGAGATGTTTATATGCTGTAAGAAAAAATTAATTACTCTTGTAATAGGGCATTTTCTCAGTCCATATTTGCTTCACAATGAGCAGCTAGATATTTTGGCAAATTAAGTTGGACTTAGTGACACAAGGAGTCATCTCCCCAAAATTTGCAAGAGCAGGTTAACACTGTTGAAAGAATCTACTCTTTGATCCCTGGAGCAGCAATGAATTCCATGACAAGGACATACAGTACACTGCAGATACTAACCCAGACTTTGGAAAGAGTTGAGTTGCAGCAGTGAAAAAATGAGCACAGGCTTCTTTACCCATCTGAACAGGCACCTCACCCTTGTTAATTACCATCTTCTCATCTAGGTTGTGCTATCAGGCTTTTTATCAGTGTAGGTGGACCTAGCATTATGCAGAGGATCAGGAGCAAAGTCTTACTTGCTTTGACAGTTCTTGTTTGCCTGAAGCTGTGTGTCTGTACCAGCTTCTTGCAATGAGAAGTGCTGGCTGTGTCTGCTCCAGGAAATTCTGCTGGAAAATTTGGCATCAGGTAACACTACACTTGTGCAGCTCATGGTGGTTTGATAATCTGCAGTTTGATAATCTCCCTTGTGAGATTATTGCTTGGGATGTAGGTTCATTAAAGGTGTCTGGTACACTCTGCTCTTCCTGGATTTTACCATGTCTGATGCTGGGAGAGCCAGGGGAGGTTTATCCTGTCCCTGTAGATTTGGGCTAATGTCAAGCAGAAA